GTATTTTGGACATAAATGGAAGATTTGAAATGGGTCTGTAATTTGCTAGGTTATTTGGATCTAGTTGCGGTTTCTTAATGAGAGGTTTTATTACTGCCAACTTGAATATTCTTGGAACATGACCTAAGAATAAAGACGAGTTAATAATATTAAGAAGAGGCTCTTCCACTACAGGTAACACTTCTTTCAGTAGTTTAGTGGGTATTGGATCTAATGAGCATGTTGTTGGTTTAGATGCAATAATAAGTTTATTTAGCGCTTCCTGTCCTATAGTTGTAAAGCGGTGTAGTTGTTCTTGAGGGACGATAATTGAGGCTGAATCATAAGACACCATAGAGGATTGTACATTTATAATTGTGTTTCGAATGCTTTCTATTTTCTCATTGAAATAATTCATAAAATCATTACTACTAAACTGTAACGGTATATTTTGCTCTGGTGATGTCTGTTTATTTGTTAGTCTAGCCACGGTGTTAAATAAGAACCTTGGATTATTTTGGTTATTTTCTATTAGTTTGCGGAGGTGCTCAGCCCTGGCTGTTTTTAGAGCCTTTTTATAACGTGACATACTGTCTTTCCACGCGATTCTAAAGACCTCTAAATTAGTTTGTTTCCATTTACGCTCTAGGTTACGAGTTTCTCTCTTGATATCATGCGTAACACTGTTGTACCATGGTGCTTTAGTTTTCTCTTTAACCTTTTTTAATCTAATTGGTGCAACAATATCTAATGTACTAGTGAAAATGGTGCTCAAACTGCTAGTCATTTCCTCTAGTTCATCTGTTTGTTTGGGTTCACTGAGCAGCTGAGATAGATCAGGTAAGCTATTTGAGAATCTATCTATAGTGGTTGGAAGGATTGTTCTGCCTGGTCTATAACGTGGCGCAACATGACATATTTCAGCAGTACGTATTATGCACGTTACCATGTAATGATCAGTGACATCATCACTTTGCGGTATAATATCTATATCAGTTGGATTGGTTCCATATGATATAATTAAATCTAGAGTATGATTTAGACGATGAGTGGGACCACGGACGTTTTGCTTGACCCCAAAGGAGTTTAATAAATCTGTAAACGCAGCCCCTAACGCATCATTTTTGTTGTCTACGTGTATGTTAAAATCTCCAACAATTATTGCTTTATCGACATTGACCAATAGATCCGAGAGAAAGTCTGCAAACTCTTTTAGAAATTCAGCATATGGCCCTGGAGGTCTATATACAGTAGCCAAGGCTAGAGATAATATGGATTTCTTTCTTACATCTAAGAGCGTAACATTTAGCATAAGTACTTCAAACGAATTAAATCTGTGACCTGTTTTCTGAGAAATATTAAGAATATCTTTATAGATTGTTGCAACACCGCCGCCACGACCAGTCAGACGGGGCTCATGCTTATAACAGTATCTTGGCGGAGTAGACTCATTTAGACCGAAATACTCATTTGGTTTAAGCCAGGTTTCAGTAAGGCAAAGTATATCGAAATTATTATCTGTGACCATTTCATTTACAATAACCGCTTTAGGTGTGAGCGATCTAATGTTTAGAAGACCTAGCTTTAGAAATTCTTTTTGTTCGCTGATATTTAGATTTTCTGGTTTAATTACAATAAGATTTTTGCTAGATCCTGCACTAGATTTATTGTTTGGCTTCACTAAACGAGGAATAGACACAGTTTCTATATAATGTTCTTCACTACGTATATCAATTAAGTTTGGACAGCAAAGACTGTGGTTTGGATTTTGACTTATTAGTCATCTGGTGCGTAACGTCTTGGAGATATTATCCGACAGAACAGCCGCTCCGGCTCTGCTGGGGTGCAGGCCATCAGCACGGTACAGCCTGGGTCGCTCCCAAAACAGATTCCAATTATTTACAAAGAGCAGTTTCTGTTCATTACACAGTGACATTAACCATTCATTTAGTGCAAATAGTCTACTGAACCTTTCTTGTCCTAGTCGGTACGTGGGAAGCGGTCCAGACACGATGATCGTTGCCTCAGGCGCTGTGTTGCGTACCGCCTCGATCAGGCTCATGTAGTCCTTCTTCAGAACCTCCGTCTGCCGCAGCCTGACGTCGCTCCCTCCCGCATGCAGCACCACAGCTCCGACGCGCTCGTCCCCGGTCAGGATTTCGGGAACCTGTGCAGCGATATCAAGAACACGAGCACCAGGAAAGCAGTGAGAGCGCACCTTACCTTTACCTGAGGTAGCATGGACATGGCGGACCATGGACGTGCCGATGATCACGGCGTCGTCGCGTTTCGACTCGCGAAGAGGGGAGAAGCGGTTCCGAGTGGAGATCTCGAAGACCGGGAGGGGCGGAGGAGTAGCTCTGGTCCTGGCTCGCGTCTTCCGCTGCGTGATCCATGGTCCATTGTGTTGTGTCGGTGCCGGAGTAAATGAAGCCCGAGATGATCGCGTCCTTCTGGACAGAGAAACACACGGAGTAGACGAACTCGGAGTTAAAGAGTTTCTAACCACTAACTTGTGAGCATCGGCGCGTGCTGCTTCAAGTGCTGATCGCCGATCCAACAGCTCGGCTTGCTTTTCCAGCAGACCACGGATCTGTTTCTCCACGGATTCCAGCTCCAGATTCACCGAGAATAGCTCGAAAGTGTCCTCACCTGCACTCAGAGGTAAAGTTAGACACGCATCCGATATGTTCGCCATTATAACAAATGAGCTGTAAATTAGCAGTGATACTACAACTATCAGTACTAATTTAGGACTGCAATGTCAAATATAACCCGTGTCCTTTCAGTGAAAGGGTGTAATATTAGACGGCCGAGGCCACGCGTGAAATGTTAGCGGGCTAAAGGCTAGTAGCCGAGAATCGAAAGGTTGGATATAAGTAGCGATATTAAAGCAATCTAATTGTTTTTTATAAGGAATAGTTTCGTGGATAAGTTCACATGGTAATTACCTTCTACCTATTATGAAGGTAATTACTTACAGAATTTTCATTTTTGGGTGAACTAACCCTTTAAGAAATATCAGTTTATTGTCCCAGCAAAAAGAACTAGAGCCAATGAAGTTTCTGTAAAGCAATGTTTTTGTACAGTAGTTTAAAAAAACATTATAGACTGTGGAATTGTAAACAGGTAAGCCACAGTGCAAGTCAATATGCATGTTTAGTTATCAGCATTTAACTAGGCTAGTATACCTCACTAGTCTCTATCACTCTTTGCATAACTACATATATACAGGTATTCCTGATATGTTGATCATAAATTTGCAATCTGACATGTTTTGGAATCTTGCGTGTCTTGTACTTTATGGAGCCCTATAGTCTTTTTAAATGTTTTCTTTATAAATCTCCACGCCTTAAGTGTGAAATATGGTAACATATATTTTCCAGTGCGGTACATTGCAAAATTACACCACGCAGATATTACATACATCTTTGTCTAAAGTGGCCTTTCTATGTTCCAAGATGTAAAGCATCTGTAAGAATAACACATTAAACAGCTGGGCCAGATGTGCTGCCTGCATATACTCCCGTATAACTTGTCTCAGATTGGAGCCACATCAAGACTTATGCAACTTGCACTTTTAAACATCAGCCATAAGGATTTAAGAGCTTGTTTTAAAGGTTAACTGGGAGGACGGTCAAACTTATTTGATTAAATACATGGTAGTGGACAGTCTTAAGGTTAGGCAGATTTTGCTCAAGCTATTTAAAAGAAGCTCTGTGAAATAAGAGTGTTTATTAAAGGGGTCATATAATGGTACATGCACTTTTACAAGTTGATTGTACTGAAATGTGTGTTGGCAGTGCCTGTACACAAACATCATAAAATGATAAAAATCCATCCAGTGGTTTTGTTTTAATCTCCTTATATGTTTTCCCCTGCCTCAAATCGAGCCGTTCGTTTTTGTGACGTCAATAAAACGGACGCCCCTCCCACGATTGTTGATTGACGGGAGCGTTTCAACACAGACCCGCCCTCGCACATGAGGTAGCTGTCAATCATAGTCTGCGCGGCGCGGACCGGCGCGGTCATTGTTGATATGCTGGAGCACTGTCTATGAGCAGAATGGCGTCTAAGCGATTGTGGTGTTCTGTTCTTGGGTGTAATAACGAACACAGCAGTCATTTTAATGTTCCTGAATCCGAACCGCTGAAGACGCAGTGGCTGAGTTTTGTTTTCGAAGGGAATATTCCCCACGAGCAACGTCAATGCTTTCATATTTGCGCGAATCATTTCACACACCAGACTGCTTTATAAACGAGGATCAGTATAAAGCTGGATTTGCTAAGAAGCTTTGCTAAAAAGGATCGGGACCAGATATTCGTGTTCCTGCTGAACCTCCAGAAGAACGGAAGTGAGTGAAACGTTTTATTAAACTTTATATTAATATATTAATCTTTGCAAATCGCTAGTTGCACGCTTCACAATGAATGCGTCTAAGGTTTACACTCAGTCAGGGTACATTACGGCATGTTTTCTATGTATGACGTTCTCAATATAATTCATAATTCGACGTTTATACTGAACAACGCGTTATGGTTATTGTGTTATTGTGTTACAAACGGTGTACACACAGAACAGAGGGGCGGAGTGAGCGCAGCTCATGATCATTTAAAGGCATATGCACTGAAACGGCATGCTGAAAACAGAGCTGTTTTTGACCAGGTAAAATAAGTGTTTTCTTACAATACTAATGAGAATTTTTAATTAAAGTATATTACAAACTTTTAATTTAGACCCTAAAGAATCATATTAGCTTGGAGAAAAATGGCATTATATGACCCCTTTAAGTTTACCATCACCAGTTTACAACAAAATATATTCTATATTCTGGATCTGAGCAATGTGACATAAATGGATACACTAACCTTGAGCTGCATTTCTGGCTCAGTTAAAGTGTTTTAACAATCACATGCAAGTAAATTAGTTTTGCCACCACACCCCTACAACAACGACTTTAAGCTCCATTAGGGCTTTCTAATGTTTACAAGGGCTGCAAAACACTTTTGTTTTTCTGACAGGCTGCAGTCCAAGATTCCCGCCAGTCGTCTATACCGCTGTGGTAGTTTCCAGGGAGAGACCCTTGCCTCTTCCCCCAAAGAGATATGGAGCCCCATGAGAGTCTGGGAGTGGAGGGCGACTCAGTCATGATGGGGGTGCTGGTGCCGAGCCCACGGAGCGAAGCGGTGACCCATGACCTGGAGGAACTGTCTCTCCAGTACACTCAGAGCCTTCCCCCCATCAAAGAGCGCAAGAACGGTGAGTAAGCCCATTTGGTCAGGCCCTTAGGCCATAACTCTGCTCCCAAGCTCCTATTTCCTCCTCATCCATTAAACTACCGCCCCGATTTGACACTGAGAAAATAGTGCCTGCCAGAAGGTTGAGAAATTTGTTTGCGGTAAGACATGGGGAATTACACAGGAATTGTATGTGAATGCCAACATGTAATCATGTCTTAAGTGCTCCCTTTAACTCTTTTCCAAAGTGTTCTTGGCTCATGTTAGGGTGGACGACTGGTAAACTAATGTGATAGATTTTGGTGTCAAATATGATTGCCGAAAGTCTCCGATATAGAAGGTTCTTAGGCCTCCAGTCAAGTTGTGGTTTTTGTTTGGCTGTAATTCAAAGGAACAGTTGATCATTCAAAAATGGATATTATGTTCCAAAGCTGTATGACTTTCTTTTGTGGAAAAACAAAAGGTTGAGTATAATTCCGGACTATGATGACAAGCAAATAATTCATTTTCTAAGTTTTGGCTGATAGATGTTGTGATGCACCGAAATTTCGGCAGCTGAAAAATTTTGAAAATATTTACTGCAATAGTTTTGTAAGGCTGGAAAGGTGACATTTAAGTAGCCCTTCCGATAACCGTTTCACTGTGTGACAAAAATTAAGCTAGACTAGCAGTATGTACAATGTGTTCAGCTGAAGTATCAAGAGGTGGCTTGTTGTTGAAGAACTTTTACAATGACTGGTTTCATTTATCAACTGAGAATACAACACCCTGCACAGCATAAAGAGTTTTAAGTACTCAAAGTTTGTTGAGTCAAATCTTTTCACAAAACTAAATGATTTGTTTCTAAATCAGACTGATCCAATCCTGTCTTAATTATGATTGCATGGAAAACAGCGACCAGGATATTTTCAAAATATCTCTTTTTGTGCTTTAAGTAAGAAAGTTATATGGGTTTTGGTGAGTAAATGATGACAGCTTTTTCTTTTTTGAGTCAACTGTCCCTTAAACTTGGCAGTTCTAAAAAAAAAAAATCTGGTCACTGCTGGTGTAATCATGTAATCGTGTTTTCCTTCTGTCTGGCTCTCACAATCCTGGCCAAAGTTTCATTCTAGAAATGTTTTACTGGTATATGAACCCTAATAAGAAGGCACTAGGGCTGATCCAATGGGCAGGCAGGCAGTGAACCTTGTTGAACTTGACTCTGTCCGACCATAGAAAGAGTTCATGTCCCACTCCCTACGGACATCCTTGCCCTTGAGAATGCCAGTGTGTCCTCGGGGCTGCTTGTTAATTTACTGCATAAGGGAGGAAAAACAAGAGACCCCACCAGGCATGTGTGTATTTCTGATCCCACTACATGATGACTTTCTTCATTACATTCTGTGTAAATCCCCAGTTTTCTCAGACCTTTTGCACTGAAATAGACTTGAAACTGTGATTCACCCAGACACTTCAACGTGACCTTGGAATCTTGTACGCTGCAATTCTTGCTACTTGCAAAATATTTAGCAATATTTTGCCGAAATACCATTGCCATTTCAGTTAGTGTTCCAAAAATATAAAGTCAGCTATATATTTTCATTTATAGAGACATATATGCTCATCAGCTGAGCACTTTTAGATCTATAAAACTGAGAAGAAATCTGAACTATGGCTGTTAATAGAGTAAAATAACTGTTGGGATTTGTGACCATCTTTAGACAGCAGAATGAAACTTCAAATTCGGTCATGTTTACTTCTTTATTGCATTTGGTTATAGATATTTAATTGTATATATTGTCTTGTGTGTCCTGAATTTTTGCTTTTGGTTGCGACTAAGATGTTTTACTTCAGCGCATCATTAGATAGAAACTAGATGCACAAGGCAAAGATGTAAGCAAATCTTCAAGAGAGGATGAAAAAAACAATAAAAATCGACCACAGTTCTGAATATTGGGGCGATCCACCCTCAATGCATGTGGTTGATTAATATACTTAATGAGAACATAATGTGCAACGGACCACCTCGTAACATTCAGCACAAAATGATAAACTTTAAAGAGACTCATAATAAATCCTAACAAGGCATAATTTCTGCATTTTATCAGCTTGGAGATACTAAGTTATGAGTTTGAGTGAATTTCCTTTATCAGAAGAACTGCAGCAATAAATACTTTTTTAAAGGAACACTCTTGTTTTTTCTCGTAATTGATTCCTGCTCACTGCCGCCTTAAGATATTATGAGCTCATAGAGAGTTTGTTACACTGGACTAAATCAACATGATCTGTTCCTGCTCAGGCTGGAGGACAGACCGTACCCATCCTTCCTCTTTTCAACCCACCCTTCTAGAAACTAAGCGTCACCGCTGTTCACAAATTCCCCTACTGACACTTATGTCAATGTTCCCACAAGCTATCGTATGACCTACACATTATAAGCATATTAACATATGAGTCTTGGCTTTGAGACATTAAAAATGGACTGTTCACACTAATCTTCGGTTGGATCCAATTGTCCAATGAGTACACACACACACTAAAATATACAATATTTATAGGTAAACCTTAGAGTTAGTGTCACGATGTCATTCAACAAAAGACTTTCAGACTAGTAAACAAATCATAGTCTGTGCCCATCAAACACTATGCAATTTTCTGTAAAAATCTCAACTCTGACTGTAGACTAACATCGGCAAACATCGGTTTGTTTTTTGCAGATGGCAGTTTAAAAAAATAATCCAACTTTTAAAAATGCATCTCAAGACATCTCAAGTGTTGTTTCTCTTCAATTAGCTTTAAGTAAGAATGCATCCTAAGTAAACACCTCTAAGGAAAGTCCGATCTGGGTTAGGTAACCTCAAAACCAGCTTAAATATTTAAGGCTTTTTTGAGACCAATTAACTAGTTTTGCACATCCCTAGTGGGTTCCCTCTCCACCGGACCCAATGAGTAGACTAAACCAGTGGGCCCGGGACAACGCTCCCTATTGGCTTCCCCCGGGACGTTCCTGTTTTCCATTGTGTTTAATCCCTTTGGCTGATTCAGATAGGCTTTGTTTAAATATTTTCTTTCCTTCTCTGCAATATTAATCTCCAGCAGCTATGAAAGAAACATCACTCGATGTAGATAAGAAATGTAATGGCATTTTTTCTGGGAAACCCCTTGAGACACAATAGTGCTTCATTAGAATGGCGGATCGCTGAAATACAAATGAGAAACAGTCAAATGTCGAATCTCATCTGTAAACATGTCGACACCAAGTGACAAAAAGAAACAGAGACATCCCTTGGGTTGCTGCTTGGTTGTTTTTACCATTTTTGTTCCATGACAACATGTTTTCAATGGGGAAAAAGGTACACATTTTATTTTCTCACTGCTAAAACTGAAGTAGCATATAAAAGAAGTATGGGAAGTTGCGGTTTTGCATGAGAATTTTTGCATTAAGTTCCTCTTAATTGTCTAAGATGAAGTTTGCAATTGAACTATTTACCCAGTGATCAGTGCTGTTGAGGGTTAACAGCTACAGCTCTTTAGTCCCGCCTCTCCTCTCAGTCACTGACACAGCCTGGAGCTGAACCGCACTCGCTGAGAACTACACACCCACAAACACTCACTCAGGCAGTCTCGAGACAGAGCCGGTGAAGGAACTTGTCGGAACGGTCTGGAATCAAACTCCACGCTGGGGAATTTCCTGCCAGATCTCGCCATTTTGCCTCGCTCCTCATTTCCCACAGCAATCCATGGGACTCCAGACACGGAAACTGTCCGATCCGTCTCTCAGCTCCATGGCCTGCCTTGAAGTGGAGACCTTGAATGTCTGCAGGGGTAAATCCAAATATTTAGAATAGAAAAAATAATAATAATTCCAACGTGGATTAATGAGAGCATGAATTAAAATGGGGAAAGTTGATGCTAAACATGAGTGCAGGACACTGGGAAACCAGAGTTTAGCACACGGCAGCTGGTAATTATTACCGAAACACATGTTCTGAATTGGATACAAATGTTATTGTACAAATAATTGACCAAAGATTTTATTGTTAGGTTGAACATGAGAGTAATGATGAGGCTTGTTGTTGTTGTTCTTAGGCTGTCTGATGTTGGTTGTATTATATTTTTGTATTAACAGGTTTTCATTCAAACTCACACTCAAACATTACCTTACCATTCAGTTAATCATTTAGCTGGCTTATCGTTCCTCTTCGGAAATTTATCTGCTTTATGGGAGTAACACCTCTTTACAGGTTTTTTAACAATAAGACTTTCATGTGCATGAGGATATCTTTACAGGCTTCACTGTTATTAATATATGGCTTCAGTTGTGAGAGTTTCAAGTGAGTTATCAGTTGTTGGGAATGGTGCCCATCGATGAACCGTAAACCAAACGGTATATTCATTTATCAGATCTCAAACCTGAGCCAACATGCAGTCTCTGCTGTCCTCCAGAGCTCTGCAAGTACGCATGAAGATACAGTCATCTGTCGAGCTGCTGAAATATTCTTTCTAACAGTAATGTCAACACAACCCAGGTCAATGTCAGAGTGTTTCTTAAACAACTTCAGTTTAGTCAACATTAACGGGCTCGTTAGCCATAACACAGCCCGTTCGTGTAATTTACGATGGTAGTGTCTGGTTATGCTAAGGTGCGGTCGCGTTAGCGAAATTTTGCTGGAAAAAAAAGGTCCATTGACTATTGTCAGTGTTGTGGAAATTTATGAAGCACAACTCGCACAGATGTCAATTTTAAGGCCCTGATTGTGAGGTTCTGAGGAAGGAGGACCCAAAAGCAGAAGAATGCTTAATTTCAATTTATTGAAACCGTAATACAGTTGAAGCTGCACGGCTTCACGAACAGATAACCAGCAGTGAAGAAAATAGTCAGGCAGGAATCAGAGTCCAGGATAATCAAATCCAAATCGTGAGGCGAGAATCAGTATCAGACGAGCAGGGTAGTCAGGCGACGAGCAAACAGGGACATCCCAACTCACAATCAGAAACATGCAGTAGTGCAAAGCAGAAATCAGTCCAGAAAGGCAAACGGTAACCCAGGGAAATCCAAACTCCAGTACCAGTAACAGTCCTAATGATCAGCAGTGATAAAACAGTCCAAGACCAGTGAATGTTGGAGAGGAACAGGGAACCGCAACACAACTGGGCAGAAAAAAAAATATGTTAGATAAAAAGAAAACAAAACTACTAAACAAGGAAAAAACCGGCAAGTGACCAGCAAAAGGTACAGAACATACTGGCAGAGAACAAAGGGGAAAGAAAGCATAAATGTTGCTGAGAAATCAAGCAATAAAGGGAGACAGGTGAGCGCAAATGCACGTGGAAAAGACCGAACACAAAAGAGGAAGATCAAACCCGAGTCCTGACACTGATATTATAATCACAGTAAGGTTCTTTTTTTGTTCTTCGCTTAAGGGTAAAAAGTGTTTTAGATAAATATGTAAATATGCCTTCCTCTCAATAACAATATAAGCACGCAACAAAATTACGGTGGTGAGAAAACAGCAGTTTAGAAAGCATCTGATCTTTAGTGATCTAGATTTGTTTGCACCAGCTCTGCAATTCAGCTCTCCAGTCAAGCCACATTTATTTATATAGCACGTTATACAACAGATTGCTTTAAAGCAAGCAATTTTACAGTATTAAACATGAAAGAAATAGTGTCAGCGTCGCACTCGGTTAGAATTACAACTTCGGATTCTACTATAAAGCTGCTCACCAGTGTGTTAATATCCTTACTCGAGTCTGACCTCGATGGACTGAACAGAAGAAACGAACCGGATCAAATTTCTACATCAGAGAAGGCGGAGCCTCAGTGCCACACCTACCTGTTACATAATCACCAAGGACCAATGGTAGTTTGAAGGGGTTTACAAGCCAGAGCAAACTTTTCTGGAAAGTTCGCTTTGGCAAGCTGTTAAACTCTGAAAACCAAATCGATACTTGGTTTGGGCCTGATTTTGTTTGAAATGTCGTCACACCAGTTCGTTTTTTTTGTTTTCACCTGAAGTATATCAAGGCCTTTAAACATAGCAGCTTTCTGTTGGTCTGTTGTGGGAAAATCTTTCACCATCAGGCAAAATTCCTGCTCGTGTGTGCTCTTATCAAAATGACCTGATTTCGTCTGCTAAAATTCGACAAACAAATGTAAATGGGACCGCAACTTTAGGCTTGAATTTGGATTTCGATTGAATCTTGAGGACTGGGTTTTAGGGGAGTGAGATTTACAGGGATCTAAGCTGCCTTTTGTTTATTGTACAGATTGAGAGTGAAGCCTGGAGCCACATAAAGGTCAGTCAGGGTTCAGCAGAGAACACGAGGAATGACATCAGCTCAACAAACACTGGGATGACTGCAGGCATGTCATGTACCCTCATACTGATGTGAAGATGATTACGGTATTACTCTTCCATCAAGCTTCATCCGCCACATTGTTTTGAAAAAGCCACTTGGTGGTGGCATGGATCTTGATTTGCAATGCATAACCACTTTAATATTGAAACCCACAGGAGTTCCTGGCGCACATAAATAATGGAAAACATGGTTCGGGACAGAGTGTTCCAAGCTTTTAGGGGGGTTTTAGGAGGGGCACTTGGTCCCCTCCTTTAGTCTGTCCACTCTTTGTTCTTGGCATACATGGTTCCATTAAGAACCTTTCAAATCCATGGAACTTTTCAAATGCACAAAATGGTTCTTTAGATCATTTAAAAGTTCTTCAAAGTGAGGAAAAAAAAGGTTCTATTCAGAACTGCTCACTAAAGGGTTTTCAATGGGACACAAATGGTTCTTCTACGGCATTGATGCAAAAACCCTGTTTTTGGAACCTTTGTTTTTAAGAGTGTTTGATGCAGAATGTATGTGTTTTATGTACTACCCCCATGCCATTTCCCAAATCTTCAGTTTCCCAGGCCTTGTTCTCACAACGGCTGGGTTTATTTTAGCAGGGGTGAGTCAGACAGAGTGGTCGCTCTCCCGGGACTTAAGCATAACTGGGTGTGCTAGGCCTCATTCTGCAGCCAATCAGATTGGATCTGTGCTCCCAGTGCTGGCGATGGGTGTAAGCTGGGCATTTTCCACCTTCCGCCGTCCCATGTGTCACTATCAACTGCCACCCTCCTCTTCAAATGTTTTTCTTTTGCAGAGGAGTGGTGTTATTCTCTTGAACCAACATGCCCACGCTTGTGTGTTTTCGAAATGTACAAAACGAGTTGTCTAGTGGGATGGTGAAATAGCATTCAGCCCTGGCCAGGGTGTAGTAGGCTGTGCATAACGCCCTGCATTTCACCCTTTCACTCAGGCATTCACTGTCTTTTTGAAGTTCCTGGTTTGTTAATGCATCAGTGCTTCCTCATCCAAAGCATAACACCTTGCATCTCGCTTTTTATGGGCAGCAAGTCCAAAGCCAAGTCTTAAGCTGACATCACCTTGAGAAGTTGATAGGAACATTGCACTGTTTATTATTTTGTGCTTTGGACGCTGTTCTGTTGTTGATCTCTCTTATAAACAGCATTCTGTTGTTTGCTTTTGAGGTCAGTACTGTTGAGATTTCGTACCGCTTGAAACTTTTATTACATTTGAATTAAGTACGACTCTTTGGTTGAACTTCAACCCCAAAACATTTCGGATGAAAGGGAAAATGTCACAGATGATTTGTTTATATAGTAACAAAAATAATAAAACACTAAAACTGAGCAATACTATTAACTATAATCAAATTATGATTTCCAAATATACTTGAATAATGCTGAAGTAATACAATGCTTTGATATTAAATAGCCTTTAAAGATTAATAACTAGTGTTTCTACCAATAACACATATTGAGGATGTTACATTGAAATACTATAATGTTTATTAATATTTTGATTTAATATTTAGTTTTTATTTTAGTTTTCTGTTTAATTTTAATTCACGTTTTAGTAATTTTGTTATGATTTTTATTCATTTGTTTTTTTATATTTCTATTTAGTTTATATTATTTTTTCAGTTTTAGTTATTTTAGTTCATTAAGTTGAATGAAAATGGGAAATGTTCTCAAAAAAACTTATTTTATTTCAGAAACTATCTGAAATTAAATGTTTTTTGTTTGTTTGTTTGTTTGTTTGTTTGTTTTTTTAAATTGAAATTGTATTTAAAATTCCGAAAGTGTCCTAAAGTTTCATTTATCCATAACAACCATGTTTCATATTAAATAATTTTTAAAAATAATACTTTTTAGGCACAAAAGGCATTGTTTCTTAAAGATTGCTGAACACTGTATGGAGAATCTGACGATGAGTGCTTTTGTGTCATGCTTGCTTAGGTCAAGACCTGTTTTGGACTGTATCTAGTGCATTTCAGAGAGTATTATAAGTACAAGCTCACTAAAGTCACAGTTTTTCACTGAGTTCTGTTTCTGCTTCCTCCACAGTGCTACAGTTAAGACTACAGCAGAGGCGCACACGCGAGCAGCTCGTAGACCAGGGCATCATGCCACGTGAGTCTGCATGCTTCATGGAAAAATAACACTTAAATGTCAGCCATTAATGTTTAGACAAATTAAGCCTAGACTTTCATGAAGTACTCTGTTGAGACCACATCTATATGTTAGACAAATGTTCTAATTTCTTGTAACACTTAATCCAGCGCCATTGACAAAGTGTCACACACATTATTACCTAAGCTTTGCACACATACTGTACTTATTCTTCATAAAGTGGAACACATTCACCTCCAGCCACAGTTTGTTTGTGGATTACTCCTTTGGCGACAGGAGGATGGAGTAAGTTATGCGTGTCGGTAAGGAGAGCAGTTCTAATAAAAGAAAGCGTCTGTTGAGGATACAAACTGATAAGGAAGGAGAGATAGAACAATGGTGTGACTGATGTCTGTCTGGAACAGCGGGAGCTGTCCTGTTCTCTCGGTGCTTGCCGTCTGTATAGGGCCCCTAACGTCATGGTCCAAGCTCCAAGAGTAACAAGAGTGAGTCAGCGGCTGGGCCTGCACTTTTCCTCAGCAAGATCTGTGGTTACCTCCCGGGCTTTATAGTCAATGGTTAATGGCTCGGATTCTCCCACAAAGACCAATTCTCGCATTCTTTATTCATGTCAGGATTAAACCTTTACTGAAAAGGGTTGTTGTTGTTAGTGAAAGCAGACCGTTTCAGAGGCCTAGTTTGGTTAGTGATATATGACTAATCAGGGTGAGCAAAAGATAGTTTTGCTAATCAAGGCACAATCATTGTGTCAGAGCGCACATTTCCTGTTGACTGTGGATTCAACACCCACAGAAACCCGCCTCCACTCACTCACACCATCTCAGAGAACCACTCGTTGACGTGATTGGTTACAAGGTAGTTTGTGACGTCAGAAACACCAGCGATTTCAAACGGCGTTTTGTTCACTGCAGTTTTAGGGAGAAAATACTCAGCAATGGTGTTGACTTATGAATTTGTACATGGTTTGTCTTAAAGCATATTAAAAACACCACATAGATATATATAAACAACATTAAAAACTTGATTTTCACCACAAGGGACTTTAAAAAACATTCTTAAAACATGATTTACCCAAGGCAAAATTGTATGAAATTGCATTGTATTCAGAGTCTATCTTGAATTTATTTATTTTTTAACCCATTGGAAAATGTACTTTTGCTTTATGCATAAATCTAACAAAATTGTTTAGTTTATAAATTGTAAAGCACGCATTCTCTAAAGTGGGTCAAAATGCTGACTTTCTAGTTTAACTTAAGTAGTTAAGGCAATCTTAGATTGTCCTTTAGGGCACAATTTGCCTTTAAGTAGAAGTTCTTTAGAGCGCAGCAGTTTAACTCAGAAAAATGTTTAAAAGAGTTTTGCACCACGTAAACAAGAGGTTTCTGCCAGGGAATAAAAAATTAAAAAGGTGATTGCGACTTTTTATCTAAAAATTCGGACTTTTTCCCCCTCTCAATTGTGAGTTTATATCTAACTTTTTTTTTTTTCAATTGTGATTTTTATATCCCAAAAATTGTATTGCAAGGAAAGTCAGAATTGCGAGATATAAACTTGCAATTCTGATAATTTAAGTTTTTTTCTCACAATTGGACGTTTATATCTTGCAATTCTGACTATTTCTCGCAATTCTGAATTGGGACCCTTTTCTTTTTCAGATGTGACCTTTTTCTTGCAGTCGCAAGTTAATATTCTGCAATTCTGCCCTTTTTTTCAGAATTGTGAGATATAAACACAATTGTGAGTCATAACGTCTGAATTTTGAGATGTAAATCCGCAAATTTGAGAAAAAAAAGTCTGTTGCAGAAACAAGCTTCCATATAAGTACTATATAATACGATATTAAATGATGTCATGTCACTTGTCTTGTTTTTAAATGAAGATTATTTTCCTTGCAGCGCTGAAGACACCTGCAGTTTTTCATGAGCAGGTCAGAAGTTTGGAGAGGGCAAGGGTAAGACTTCACTGCTCGGAAATATTCTTACACTTTTCACTCATTGGTGAAGTGGCCTTTACACAGGTTTAATAATATAAGGATGTCTATGTTAAAATCACAAGAATATCATATTTTCCATCATTGAGTGCTATAGTGAAAAACTGGCCTCAAGTATTTGGACAGTTAAGTTATTACATTTACAGTTTGCAGATGCCACTTGGTTTTGTATTTTGTTATATAATGCAATGACTTCCAGACATTTTGAACAATTAAATTCAACAATTTTGTGTACAAAACATATTATACAAAATAAATTGCATAATATAATTTTACTTTGGCTATCAGCCACCCTTTGTCCTATATGTAAATATTTGTCAGCTACTAGTTTACTATGAGAACAGTAACATGCTGAGATGTATGTTCATATTCATTGCATTTCCTTCAAATACAGACTGAGAATTTCCTGAAACATAAAATCCGTAGCAGACCTGAGCGTGCTGAACTTGTCCGCATGCACATTTTACAAGGTAAGCACCTGACCAAACAGAAGGGATTTCGCTCTCAAGAGCATTATCAGTGTCAAAAGTTACACTTTTTGAAGCACTTTTGTTTCACTTCCTGGATACTTCATTTGTGATGTAGCTTTAGCATATTCTGAAGCTGTTTATGTATTTCAGAAACCCATGCAGAGCCTTCTTTGCAAGCCACTCAGATGAAGCTGAAGAGGGCACGTCTAGCGGATGACCTCAATGAGAAGATTGCACAGCGGCCGGGACCAATGGAACTGGTGGTGAAGAACATCCTGCCTGTTGACATTGGTAAAAACAATAAAATAATGTATTTACATGCTTAAAGGGATACTTCACCTCTGGGAAGATGAATGTGTATTTAAAATGGGTCATTTATGTAGAAGAAATGTGAAATTATTTTTGAATTTGGAGCTTTCTAGACAGAGAAAAGCCAGAAAATGTATTTTTGGCTTATGTGGATGAAAGGCAACAACTCCCAGAATGCACTTGCTTCGCTGCCCTAGGAGGCCACTCCTACCGGTAACAGAGCGCAGTAGTTAAACAACAAGTCTAGGCTACTAGTGAGTCTCCGTGATGAGTCTGCCCGGGATTTCGAGATCGCCCAAAATGTCCGGGATTCGGCTTTTGCGTCCTACAGTCGCCATTCATTATGTTTACTGTGGCGAGCAGGACGAGGCTAGGGCCGCGGGAGAACGGCGCGAGGCCGGTGGCGTGATTACTGATGAGCGACACCTGTGAGACGCACCGGTCTCGTATCTCTCACGGAGGAGCGGGAATTTTCTTAGCAATGTTAAAACGCACATCAACCGATCACTTGTTTAGCGTTTATGTAAACACTACATTCAGATTCACCAATCGGAATGAATTCAGTTAGATTGAAACAAAAGGTGTGCATGAAAACAATGAATGGCGACTGCAGAAAGCAAAAGCTGAATCCCGGACATTTTCGACGATCTCGGCGGCCAGACAGGAAAAAGTCGATGGTAACCCCTAAAACTCAGCTTTCTCCAGAGAGCAAGAGCCTGCTACCTTAGCTTCCAAAAAAGATGGCTGACACTATGTGTACGTTCTGTGACTTAGATCATCCCACCCTCTATGGGCGGGTTGAGAACATGCGGGACAGCCCCTACTACTGACTGTAGTCTTTAGCCTCTGGCCAAAAAATCCTCCGATGACGCAAAATGACGATTTTTGCGTCATTGGAGGATTTTTTCCAGACAAAAAATACATAAATCTCTCGTCTCAGGGGGATATGAGGGTGGAAAGCACGGTAATTTGAAAATACTACAGGTTTTCTACTAATACAAAGCTTAATGCTAAATCCTGAAGTATCCCTTTAATAATATTTTTTGTGGTTGAAAACCTCATCTGTGTAATTGCTCTTCTCCACGCATTGCTGTCCCGGCAAAGCTTTGATTCCCGCTCTAACTGCATTATAATGGTGCGTTCATGTCCTCCTGGGAAGTTCGTATTTACAAGGTGGGAAGTCGTGTTTACGACGTCAGGTGCGTTCAAGTCACTTTTGTCGGAGCAAGTGTACCTTCTCTTTATTAACTACACAAAAATACAGCAAGGTTTTTCAACTCTACTTCCAGAAAATGAAGAACAAAAATGTGCATCATGTGTTTTGCTTTAATTAATTGATGAAGCCACTGTAAAATGTATTGTTATGTATTATATTGTTATAGTATATTTTGTGCAGGGAATTAGCTTATTTGGTAACACTTTTTTTACAGCGTCATTGTTACATAATTATGTTACACGCAGTCACTTTATTAATAACTATAAATTATGCTTAATTGCATGCAACTAACCCTGAACCAAACCAAACCCAAATCCTAACTCTGTAGTAAGGACATGTAGTTACTTAATATTACTCAGTACTTAAATGTATAACTACAGTGTAACAAAAACACCTTAAAATAAAGTGTAACCACTTATTTTGTTTTAAATACGACTTTGTGGTGGCATTCATGTGCATTCAACTCGTAAATACATTCTTTTCGACATGACTTGAACGCACTATAAGTTATATATATATATATATATATATATATATATATATATATATATATATATATATATATATATATATATATATATATTTTAAATGTAATTATATATAATTAATCAGAGCGGGAATAAAGTAAGTTGTTTACATGTGTCACGACAGCTACAGATAAAGCCAAAATAACCCCCGCAGACAAACTTGTCAATCTATCTTGATGGATGGTGCAGAGAAACGTAAAAGGTGAACTCTGACCAATAAGAGGAGGTTTTCCTCACATGTGACTTGCACATTTTGCTTCGGAAACAAAGCAAACGATCTACATGTCTGAAAACACCCTAACTTTTGTCTTCTGTTTTTTGTTGGACACTGCAGTTGCTGAACTGGATGTTTATAACTTCAATGAGGACAGCAGTGAAGCTCTGTCTCCAGAACAGCCAGCTAGTCATGAGTCTCTGGGCTCTGTATCTTCTCCTATAGAAGCCAGACTACCTGATCCATCCGTTGTATCTCCTCCGATCGGCTCCAAACTCCAGGTCAGCCTCTTAGCAGTCCTTGGATTCACATCCACACCATATTGATTGATAACCGGTTCATGAATATTCAGTGTTAATATTTACAGTTAGCTTTTGATAAAAAGGTCTGATAAAGAATTAAAGCATATGAAGGAATATTCCGCTCTCCAGAAGAGCTAAGTTGTCTCTACTACTTCTACAATTTTCCCTGCAAATTATTCAGACATCAGCCCTGTGATCCTGGTTAGATTTATGTGTCTCTGTCTCTTCTCATGGCCATATGGCTTTTAATCTCTTTTTATCTCAATAGTGTCCACCTACAACCCAGTGCTCAGACTTCCTGAGCAAAACATCTGTAGAAGATGGTCGAGTAAGGACTGCCACTCAGCTAGTCTCTGCTGCTGCTCCCACAAAGCCAGGACCCACCCTTGTGAAGGTAAACCATATGTCCTAACCACGGTGATGTCATTTCCTGTCAGTGTTTATTTTCAGAGATAATGGTCAGTGACTAACGGTATTACTGACTAATTTCACAATAGCAACTCCAGCAAAATAATGAAATATACCACACAGACTGTGAACTCAGAAATGAACTGAAAAAATTATGCTAAAATGTGTTTGCCTACAGATACAAGAACACTATATACACTACCATTCAAAAGTTTGGGGTCGGTACAGTTTTTTAAGTTACAGTTAAAATACAGTTAAAAATGTTTCCAAGGTTGTGGTAATTTGATTTTAAACAGTAATGTTGTGAAATATTATAACAATTTAAAATAACTATAATGTGTTGTATTATTCATATTATATAATAAAATTATAATTAAAAAAACATGATAGCAACATGTTAATTCATGCTAACAACATGTTAAAACATGCTAGCAGCGTGCTAATTCATGCTAGTAATGTGTTAAAAAATGCTAACAACATGTTATATTAACAACATATTTCAGCATGCTAAAACGTTAGGATTTTGTTCAAATATGCTTGCAACATATTCGTGTTTTTAGTAAGACATGCTAGTACCGTGTTAAAAATGCTTGCAACATGCTAATTCATGCTAGCAATGTAAAACAATGCTAGACACATAAGACGTGTTAACAACCTGATCAATCATGTTAGAAAGCTTATAAAACTTTCAGTCAAGGCTTTGTAATTTTAAAATAGAAATGTTTTGTTACATTATAAATGCTTAAAGGCCCTTGCACACTGAGTCCGAAATTCGCGTCCGAAATTTGTGCACGTTAAAAAATAAATACGACCTCACGTTATGTCAATCACGCTTGCACACTGCCTCTGAAACTTTCGTCCGTCATAAAAAAATCGGATCGGGTTCGATTTTCAGAGCCACCGAATCACGAATACGAAAAAACGCGTACGAAAATTTCGGACTCAGTGTGCAAGGGCCTTTACTGTAATTTTTATCAATTTAATGTGTTCTTGCTGAATAAAAGCATTACATTCTTTTTAAATAATCTTACTGAACTTTTGCACGGTAGTGTAAATCTTTAGCAAGAAAGATTCTGTACCACAGTGTAGACAGGAGAGAAGTAGAGCTGTTGTTTGTCACTCTAAACAGCTTGTTTAGAACAACTTGTCAAAGATATCTTATGCAGAGATAGAAGTGCTAGCAGCCGCCTTCTGTCTTCAATTAGAGGTCAAATGAAACATTCACACTCATAATGCGGAGAAGAACAAACTTAAGCTGGGAAACAGGAATCAGACCAATAACTTGTGCTTTTATCATAATCCAAGCCTTCAAAGCATACTCCGCATATTTACTACATGACAGCGGGTCACTGCTGACCCTCTCGCACAGTCGTGCTTTTGGAAACCTGTGGACACATACGCGAGCTTGAAATTGTGTTATTACATCCTGATGGCTTTCAACTCCCTTCCTCAGAAGCCAAACTATTTTCATGTGTATCCTGTGACTCAATATTTTTGAACAATGAGGGTCATGTCCCCTCCACGCATCCTGTTTCCTCTTCCTGTGATTTTAGGTAGATGTTCATACATGTCCCACCTATTCACAGCAGTTGCAAACTTGTGGTTTTACCCATAAATCACTCAGCTCCTCGTATTCTCATAGTGCTGACACCTCTTGTTAGCAAGAGGACTGGGCTAGTTGAAACATTATGGGAATCACCTGAAATCACAAGTCAAACAGACTGGTGATATAATTCCAAAGCGGCAGGGTGTTGAATGCGGTCAGTATGTTTGTTGTGTGATTTCAGGTGACACTTTTTGTTCAATTCTTCCGCCCTTGTTTCCATGCAGCAAAGCCAGCCCAAACAGTCCAGTGACAAGAGTCGAAGCAAGAAGAGCAAAGAACCCAAACCGCGGATTAAGAAGCTTAAGTATCACCAGTACATCCCGCCCGACCAGAAGCAGGAACCCAATGAAGCCCCGATGGACTGTGCATATGCCAGGCTTCTTCAACAACAGCAGCAGTTCCTGCAGCTCCAGATTATCAGCCAACAGCAACAGCATTACAATTACCAGGCCATATTACCAGCACCACTCAAGTATGTGTCACATTTCCAGTAAAGTTTCCAACATTTGAGGCCCTTTCTCATGACATTCACCTCTTAATCACAAGCGTCACTTTGACCTCAACATGACAAGAGGATTTTATCGTTTAATAAATCACATAGTATGTAATATAATGTACACAATATAGTATAATATGATGATTATCATCTGATTCGTGTTACACTTGACCTGCGTGCACTGTAGCTTGACACTTATCTTCAATGTTCAATACATTGGGAACTGGCATGTGAAATGCCCTGCAGGGATGCATACACACAAAAAAAAAAATACTAGTTCCTCTGATGTCGGTTAATCATTGGTTACGGACCAGTGCAATTGCATTTGATTCTGATATATCAGTTTCAGCTCTGACATTAAAAGGATTTATTATGAGCCTGATTGATTTACAAAAAGAAATTCGCAGCTCGGAAAGGAATGCGAGCGTTGTGTGCTATGAGCGATAGCCTTTAAATAATGGTTTTGCCTATTAATCTTAACAGACCTGTCATCACCACAGCTGTAGTATGGCAGTTCCTCATATTATTTCCAATTTGGCTCCTGTTGCCGCAAGATATACCTCTGCTTCTATTGTGTAGAAGGGCTGCTTATTGTGAATGATGAGAGAACTGGAAGTTCCTATTGCATTTAAAATACCCCATACTCCTCTGCAGGCCAGTAGCTGAGAGTCAGAACAGCTGCCCCAACATCACCCTGAGCACCAGCCCAAGTCTTCCCTCTCCCATCATGGTGTCTCTGCCGAGTATGGCTTCTTCACGTCCCAACAACACCTCGACCAGTCGTAAAACCGGGTCTCTGCCTGCCAACCTAGATGAGATGAAGGTGGGTAATATGCCCATTCATATTCCCACGTCAGATAGATAAGTGTGCAGAAGTACAGTTGTTCTTGTGTCTTCTAGGTGGCTGAGCTTAAGATAGAGTTGAAATTGCGTGGACTTCCTGTGTCCGGCACAAAGACGGACCTCTTAGAAAGGCTTAAGTCCCACCAGGAGAGCTCTCAGTCTACCACAACCATAGATTCAAACATCTCCAAAACTGCTTTGCATCCCGAAAACATGAGCACAACTCCACCTGTGTCTCCTGAGAGGTCCGAGGCCTCCAACACCAGTATGGAGGACAGCAGAGACAGTTTCACCAAACCTCTGTGCAATTTGTCTCCAGCCCACCCGCCGACAGGCACCTCACCCCTCAAACCCACACCTGAAGACATGACCATGGAAATCAAGGTGTCCGAAAAAGACCAACGCCTCCACGAGAAGGAGCGTCAGATTGAGGAGCTGATGCGTAAGCTGGAGCAAGAGCAGCGGCTGGTGGAGGAGTTGAAGATGCAGCTGGAGGTGGAGAAAAGGAGTCAGCAGGGTGGAGGGCAGCAGCCTGAGCCCAATCCATCAGTCCAGGTCAAAGAGGAGAACAGCGCCGCCCCTAGCTGTAACTCCAAGTGGAGTCCCCTGCCACAAACTACAGGTGTGAAACAGGAAGAGCCTCATGCCCAGATGCACCACACCCCAGTCCAGCAGTTCTACATCAACACCCAGCAAGTCCCTCAAGTGCTGCATCAGCAGACACTGATCAACACTCAGCCTGCCACACAAATCCTGTTGCCCATCAGCCTGCCCAGCAACTCCATCACCACACAGGTCTCTTAACATTCATGATATGCCGGTTCAATTTACAGTTAAGAAAATGGCATATTTATTTAGAGTTGTTCTCTTTACTTTGCAGGCACAGACCGTTCAAAACATCATACAAACGCCACTTCTGCAAACACAGGCGTCCAATAATACGCATTCAAATCAGACACCATCTCCACCTCAGGTGAGCAAATCGCTTCTGTGTGATTTTCATCTAGTGAATGGCAATGCGTTATCAAGCCCTAAAAACACCTTAGCAGTCATATAGCAATGTCCTGGCAATCACCCTCTGCACTCTAGAAAGTGCTTGGTAAATGCCTAAAGGCTGTGACATACCAGCTGACGGTTGTCCATCGACCAATATTGGGCCATTGTTGAGGGTTCGGACCCCGTCAGCAACTTTTTGGACAACTGACCCTTCGCAAAGACTGACCCCATCCGACAAGCTATGGCGCTCTCATGCCACACATGAATTCTCACGCAGTGAAAAATACATTGCGGAGCAAAAGACACTGACAATGTGCCGACAGACAAGACAGAGCAGGTTATTTTTGGTATGATCGTCTATTAGTCAAACTCCCTGCAAAGGGTGAATTGAGCATGTTGAATCTGTGGCACAGCCCATTGGTAAGAGAGATCACTCTGATTGGCTGTTCAGCTTAGCGAACCAGTGCTTGACAAGAAAAACAGAAGTTAAGAAAACAAGCAAACTACAAAGTGAAGAGGCTTTGGCTGCATCTGAAATTACATACTCTCTTGAGTAGGTACTTATTTTGAATTACTTTACAATCACTAAAAAAGTATGTTCTTGAGTGTGTGTAGTATGAATGTAATCCAGACATACTACATTCGACATGCTGTCATTATCATGTGACCTACTAGCGTCAGATGCGTCGCTTCACTGGGTTTCATAAATCCTCTCCCATGGCCTCATGGGATAGTAAAGTATCCATTGTATGCGCACTTCAGAATCTCACCAGACGTAGTATGTCATCCGGGTACTTTTCGCCCTACTCTTTTATTATAAGTGCTGTGAATTCAGACATACTTATTGTGTCACATACTGTTTTTGCCTACTTTATATTAGGGAGGTATGTGATTTCGGATGCAGCCGTTGTTTGTTTCATAAATCCTCATTCTTAGCTCTTCTGGTTTCCCTTTTTAAATTGTGAAAACAGACTACTGCCACCTGCTGGTATGGAGAGTTATTTCCTCTCACACAGGTGCAAACACACATGCTAGTTGGCTGTAGTCTTTAAGGTTTTTTTTCAAGTGCAACTGGGCCTTAACATCTACTTAAAGATCCTTAGCATTGTTATAGCAACTACCCTAAACTGCATTGTAACTGCCACTCAAATAACCACTCAAAACACTTGAATACCAACTCCCTGGAAACTAAACAAAACACATTAAGCAATGGCCTGGCCATAGAAAAATTAATATCAGTCAACCACTAATTCTTATATGCGCTGTTTTAGACATGCAAGGTAATTAGGATATGCTTAATTCTAATTTATAAAGACACCACAAATCACAAACAATAACGTTTTACATTGCAGTAATATAATAACACTAACACAACAATTAGAAATTCATTGTATTCTCTTAGTTGTGTTGTATGTATACTTTAGGGTGCTTGTAGATCTTAACCTTTTCTTTTGCTCTGAGTGTTCCGACACTTCATAAATCCAGTTCAGCTCACTATTGTGATGACAAGGCCCAGACGCATTTCTCTCTGATTTGGCACATAGCTTGAAATGGAAAGCCTTTCTGAGCCCTGCTATGTGTTTTGCACTTATCTCTGATGTTGCCCTGGCAATAGCAGTTCAGTTCAGGTGATGCATTACCCTCTCAACAACATCAAATGCAGACCTGGCTATTTAAGTGACAGAAGTAGAAAGTGCAGAGAAAATCAGAAAGAGCACTTATCATGATGACAGGGAGTTGGTTCGAGAACAAGAGACCTCTGTTTACACACTGATATAAAACATTTTTACTCACACAGTGCAGTGGGACTAATTCTTCCTCATGTATGTGTTTGCAGGCTTTACCCCTGTGTGGAAGCTCACCTTCTGGGTTTGAGTACAGGCAGAACCAGAACCAGCCAATGGCAGACCTGCCCCAGTGCTTCCTCAACAACTCACCTAGAGTCTCGCCCAGACACACAACCCCAAACGGACCCAATAACAAAGTAAGGCAAACTGATCTCTCTACTCACAGAAGTCTGTTCTCTATTGACATTTGTCCACCAAAGCATTTTTTTTCCAGCTGAAAATTCCATGTGCTTTTCTAAAAACACCCAACGCTTGAGAACGCTTTGAAGGTGCAGCATTTAACTCCTTATCTGGTAGACCCTTGGAGGAACTGTACATTTTTGTCATATTAATATTGTGGTAGCCTGTGGATCTACAGTAATCTGGTACAGACATGAATACTCAGAGACCAGCAATATTAACTTATCCTCTACTAACAGTTGGTCAGTGTAGCATTTGTTCCACCCAAGACCGGAGGAAGACAATCCAGCGCCCTGCCAAAATTGGAATATGCTACCCCCTACGTTCAAATTTTTAAGAGAAAAATGTATCACATATTGCCCCCTACTGTTGACTTAAGACAGGTTTAATTAATTAATACAGTTGACTCACCATTTAAAGCAGCACTATGCAGGAATTCCGCTTTTGTCAAACAGCGACCCCTAGAGTCGCTGTGGAGTACTTGTACTGTCGTGAATAGCACTCACGCAGAGATGGCTCGCATTCACGGCCGGATCCCCTCCCCCTGTACACCGGTACCTGTTCAGTAGGATGGACGCTGTAACGAGTTAAAATAAGGTGTGGCCCCTTTAAGAGCTGCGCGCGCCCTGTTTAACTGTCGGCAGTCTGTATTGTATGTGTGCCTCGAACACCACATGTATACGGCGCCGGGTTATTTCTGTTTGATGCTCATTTTATCAGAATTTTATCAGATCTTTTTTGCCGTAAAGCAATTCGTTACATCGCGAGACCTGATATCACGAGACACTTCCTGATGCTGCGGCCGGCGGCCTGCCGGCTCAAAGTTGCAAGTGTGTTTTTTTCCGCTCACATGCGATAGGGGGGTGCGAAACGACCACCATTCAACCCGAAAAGAGTAATATAACCATTCCAATGACTCCGAAGCTGTTCGGTTGAGGTAAAAAACCTGCATAGTTCACCTTTAAAAGAGGACCTTTCTTGCTTTGGCTGCTGCAAACTCTTCACTTACCCTGGAGTAATCCAATTTGCGACAGATTTGGTGCTCAGTTGAAATTTTGGCCAATCCGTTCAAACGATCTTCCACCCCTCCTTCACTGTGATTGGATGGCTGGGGAAAAGGCGACAGTGATGAACACTGTGTTTACCAACATTTTCAAAGGGCAAGTGCCCAGCAATCTGCGTGAAATAGATGTTCTGTGACTCGTCACCCTGCTGGCTTTTTTAAATATGTGGCACTTTCTATTGCAAACAATTGAAAAAAAAATACTCTGGCCTCAGGAAAAAAAAAAAAACGCTTTGGTGGACACCCAGCTTAAGCCTGAAGTATTCAGCCATGCACAAGTACATGAACATAAATTCTCCTAGTTAGCACAAGCTGCGTTTCATGGGTTGATGTGCTCCAAAAATGGTTTAGGTCTCGTAATGCAACACATAGCTTTCTCAGTGTTGCCACAAGGGGTGCTATATTGGCTATTAAACTGTCTATTTCAGGGGTCTGCAGCCTGGCACACAATTTGAATAAAGTCCCTCAAACTTGCATACAGACTTACATTGAGGTAATCATTCCTCATAGTCACACAGCCTGTTAGGAGCTATAAATACTATTTAAGTGTGTTTTTAACCTGCGGTAGAGCGCAGATCCGACAAGCCATTCGACAAGCCTTCTCAGCTTGCTAGTTAAATATAATTTTAGCATAATATCTGGTTTAATGAAACCAGAGCACTTGTCAAGTATGCACAACAAATCCACATGCTTGCAACATGTCAACAACCTCTCAATACACCTTTATGATTGTACAGCAACCACCCAGAACACACTATAAACTACACAGAAACATGCCAACGTGTGTGTACTCTTTGTTGTCTTGTGCTCCATTATACCTTATATATTATTCTGTTTGCCCATCACCCATATTACACAGTTTTTAAAGTTATATTGTTTTGTTCAGCCTCCATCGCCTTGTCAGCTCAACTATATCCTTCAGCCATCGACATTCCCAAATCACCGCAGCCCAAAGAGCAAAGACCCACCCCGTTACGAGGAGGCCGTCAAACAGACCAGAGGCCTACAAGCCACAATGCAGGTAATTTAAAGTTAAGCCCAAAATATACTTCAGCTTTGATGCAAATGCTTAGACTTTCAAAGCATTCTTGATAGCGTGCACAAACCGAAGAACATGCACACATCCCAGACAGCAACATAGTTTCGGCCCAGATCCGGGCCACATCTGGAACATGTGAATCCCATGCGTACCAGATGTGGGCCGACACTGTTGCTATCTGGGATGCACACTAGGAAGTGTCAGTGTCTGCACTATTTTCTCTCCAGAAGTTACCAAAAATGTCTCTGTTCGTTGTTTTTGTTTTGTCTCTTCCATTTCTTGTTTAACCGTGAAACAACAGGCCAGGCCAGTTGCCTACTTTGAAAAGTATTTTGAACGCATTACCATTGTCTTAATACCTCATATTCTTCCATAAAGGTTCCCACTGCTACCAGTCAGCACATGGACGATTTGTTTGACGTTTTGATTGAGAGTGGAGGTGAGAACTGTGTACAGAAAGAAACACTGAACAGGTCTTTGATTTTAGCTGCAATAGATTTGTATAACTAAACCATTTTCTGTGCTTTCCCTCCCAGAAATATCCCCTCTGGCCAGGCAGGATCCTTCTCTGGATAAACTTATGCCAGTGACGGTAAACATCACCACCCTGCCCATCAACACCGTGCTGTCACGTCCTCCTCCGCGAATACACGTTGCCCGCACGCCCAATCAGACCCAAGCACCTCCACCCAGCCTGCTGACCCTGGCCTCCGATAACCAGTTGGAGGTCCTGCTGGAGGACGCTGGGCCGCAGTCCCAGAGACTGATGGAGGAGCTCAAAAACCAGCTGCTGGAGAGGTCCCACTCCCCAATGGACACTTCAGATCTGACCTTCACCGACACACCGCCATCCACCCTCCATCTACAAGACACCGGCCTTGATAACATGGAGTGGTTGGACCTTACGATCCCAGGTCCTGCTGGAATCTCCTCTCCGACTGTCTTTTCATCGGATTTCTTGGACTCGACTGATCTACAGTTGCACTGGGACTGAGCTCACAAAGGGATCAAGATTGGAGACTTTCTAAAAAAGATCTGTGGGACCACTAACAGGCGTGCAGTGCGATCTGGAGGGATCCTCTGTGCGCGAACAGATGTGACCATCATTAGTTATCAGCTTTTCTTATTTGTGCCTATAAGTGCAGGTTTGTTTGCTGTTATTGTCACCAACACCTTTCAAGGCAGAAAAAGAATGTAGAGACACTTGTTTTTCACCTATATATTTAGGCAGTGACCTTCTGCTTTTCATATTTTGAAGCAGTCTTTGAAACTGCTGGCCTATATTATATAGAATGTTGTTTTTTAGATTGCGATTTAGTATAATGTCTTCGAATTGACATAATGTATATTAGATTCATATCACACATTTTGCAGCAAGTAAGAATTATACGTACAATGTGCCTTTGCTATTTACGTTATCCAGAAACTCTCTAGTTTTAGAATTGAAAGGCATAGTTCATCCAAATTTGTCATTCTAAACTTGTTTCTTTTTCTCTGTGGAACACAAAAGATGTTTTGAAGCCGTTCCAGCTGTTCGGTCTATAAAAAGTCAGTGAGTTTAAACATTTTGGACGTAAAGGTAGCATGCAAATAATCCATACGACTTGACTATTATATGCCAATGCGGCAGGATCACTTTGTATGATGTTTAATTTACAAAGATTGTGAGGACCACTTCCAAACGATGCCTACATAGCCGACTTGCCTATGTTCCTCAACAGTTCATAGATCTTATTGTGAACGATTCATCCATGTGTACGTTTAATTTTTGTTTTTTTATCAAAAAACCCTGCATTTCTTCTTTTTCCATAATCTGTTTCACTTTGATGTATGGAAACGACTTACATTTCGATCTGTACATCATGAAAAGTGATCGATATGGATCCATTTCACATTACCTTTTTGGAGCTTGAAAGTTTCAAACGAAATCCCAATGACTTAAACATATTTTTAAAAGCAGCTGAAACATTCTTCAAAATATCTTCTTCTGTGTTCTGCTGAAGAAAGAAGCCATGTGAGGTGAGTAAATGATGACAGAATTGTCATTTTGGGGTGGACTATCACTTTTAACACAGAGTTTGCAAATATTTTTGATGGAAGCATTGTGCCATGGTAATTGTTCCAAATGTGAAATCACCTTTTTAGTGTCTCATTTATATTCACTATCAATTTCCACGGTCAATGAGCTGTTAGCCGTTGCATTAGGGTACTCGAAATTGTGGCAGCTAACTAATAACATTTAATGTATGAAAATTTCAAATTTATTTAGTGCTTGGACTGGGGAAGGTCAGAGCAAGTTTGTTTACCAAACCCATCATGGGGCCAAAGAGAGGGAGTGAGATTAGGGGCCATTATCATCTCTAACAAAAGAGTAGAGACACGATTTAGCTGTGCGAGTTGACCAGGGAAACAACACTAAACTGGACCAGTGAAATTTTCATATCCATATGAGGTGATCAGAATGACATCGGAGAACAGCTGCATTTTGATTGGTCAGACTCTTTGCTGCAGTAGGGTAGATGTTTGCTTTGGATGTAGATGAACTGCTGAGGCCTAAATTCACTATATTTCACAGAATTCAAGCTTCTTTCTACATAACCACTGAAGTACAGGTAGCCGGCGGGTGATAGGCCTTTGTGAATGTACCTAAACCTCATCTTCACTAGTTATTTGTAAGATTGAATTAGATTTCAGTCCAAATGTTTGTTAGAGTTTAGATAGATTGTTTAGATTTTCTGTAAAATGTGACAATGTGGCGACATCTGCTGGAATGTTTTGAAAAATGTATTTTTTTTTTTTTTTATCACCACTTCCTTTCGATGTATCACTCTAAGAAATGTTTCTTTGCAGTGTTTGACAGATATAATAACAGATTTCCCCCTAGACACTTTGTGAAAACATGCCAAATAATGCATTTACTTGACCTTGTACTGAACATGAACTCAGACAATCATTTCTATATCCAAACACGTCAAAATGAAAGAATGTATTTCTATATTTAGAAATGTAATTACCATGATGTCTCTGTCAGAGACCCAAAGCTTTTAATTTTGTAAACATACGATTTTACTGCATTTATGCAGTTCTCACATATATATATATATATATATATATTGGGGGGGTTTTTTCACACATTTTATGCCTCTATAAATATTTTTTGTTGAAAAAAAAAAAAACACGTGGTGGAGCAAAACCCTATCCTTGTAGACCTTGTATTTTTTTCTCAACATGTCCATCAGAGTAATTGTTATTTGTTATGAAGAGGTAAAGAAGAGAAATATTTGAAAACATACTGACCCTTTGAAGTGCGATGTAGATCATATGCCTCATATTTTGCACAGTGTATATATTTTTATACAAATGTATTTGTGCAACTGTAAATATTTTTTTGAGGTTATCTTTGTACATATCTTTATTGTATATACAGCCTTTTATCATTAAAATGTTTCTGTATTTGAAACCACTGAAATGACTTGTTTGGCCCTCCAAAACACAGAACCATGTTCCAGCAATGCATAACCTCAGTTATGATCCAAAGAAAACTACACAATAAATAAAAACTTAACATTTGACATTGTACCAGAGATAATATTTTTCTCAAAGGAAAGATCATAACTTATGGTCTACAAAACAAGATTGTTTTCATCAGCTGAAGAACTCCGACTCCATTACATCCAAAAGCAATCAGGAATTTGGTCGTAGTATTGCTTCTTGATTCCATTTTTTATATTCCTGATAGTGTAATAACCCAAAATAAAAACTAGCATTGAAGTTCAAACCAGAAGACTGGAAAGTCACCCTTGAAGATTCAGACATATTCCGGTTTCCTTTCGGATTGGATGGTTCTGGAACGTTTTAAGGTTAGCCGAAAGCTTGGCTTGGTCCCTGCAGAGAGGAAACAATATCGGATATCGCAATTGAATCCTTTAGGAAAGGCACGCAGGTAGTTCCATGGGGATTGTCCCTGTAAAAAGTTCAGGATGACGTCTCCGAAACAATTCCAACCGCCTTAGTTGTGTGCGATAATCAAAAATAAGACTCTCCAGTACAGATGCTGGTGATTCAGTTCAATTGACATTATTACGGTTCCATTCCTCAGAACTTTTTGCACGTGTTTATATTACTGCGGCATTTTGGACATTTGTGAGTGACGTCTTTGCAGGAATCCACGAAGAACGGGATTAGACAGCAGCCAGCTACACAACTACACAAGAAACAGCCATAAACACAAATATGTCATGACAGAACGACACGAGGGTAATCAAATACAGGACGTGAATGAGAATAAGTCAAGCAAATAAGGTAAATAGTTCAACTCACCAAAAAACCATGGAAATCAAACACAGAAGATAGGTCACACTGCCAGCTTTGGTCATGACCTCTGTGGTTATATATTGCCGACAGAACGGACACTGTGTCTTAGAGGAGTGTCGGGGAAGTTGCTTAACATCCAGAATAACCTGCGGAGCTAAGGAAACAAACGAGCCGCTTTCAGGAAGCTCTGGTCCTGTTGTATTTTGTATTGACGTAGTTGAAATTGTAAATGTAACTAATACATTAATAGACTCAATACAAATAGTGAGTTCTTCATTCATTGTCACTGCAATTAAATTATTATAGTTTAATTAGCTCATACCTTGCAAATGATTTGTACTTTATTACACTAGTACACATAAAAAGTGTTACCTATTTTTCCTTGTTAGTTCATGTTAACTATTGTAGTTAACTAATGCTAACAAATGGAACCTTATTGTAAGTGTTACCGTTAAAAAAAATCTTACCAACCTGGAAACGGAGGTGGACTGTCTACAAATATGACGCTAGATGACTTAGTTGTGTCTGCAAAATAAAAACATACAAACATATGACAACTATACTTTTACATAGGCCTACGACTACAGAGGTCAATTTCCAAATGTTTGAATATATTTGGCAAAAAAAGACAGCAAACCTCATTTTACCTATTAAAAGAGAGCCGCCCTCTTGCATTTTCTCAAGTTCAATCTTCCTGTCAGAGAGAACTTTAAGATCCTCGTCAATTTGTTGAAGTTCTCCAGTTTCTTTGGAATACTCTATTGGTCACAAAGATCAAGTATGAGTAACAAAACATCAGTGTATTCCCGTAAAAATCTCTATATTCACATAAATGTCTTCATTTAAAAAATGATCTCCAAATGTCTTTCACGGTGTCCTCATGGCTTCATTTGTAAGTCGGTTAATAAATCATCGAATAGTTCCATCGACTCGTACTGACCTTGCTCATTTTGCCCGTTGTTCCGCTTGAATTGGATGAGCATGGACAGGACATTGCGTCTGTCCATGAGCTGCTGTCTGCGAAAGGACAGCTTGTTCAGCTTCTCAAAGACACTCAGCAAATGCTCATCAGATTGTTGAGGCATGTTGAGGGTTGAGACGACAGGTCACTTAGACCTCAGAGAGCCTCAAACCTTCATACAGTGTCCTTTCCTAAAGAGATGCAATACAGCGTCACGACGAGTGTCTAGTCAAGAATACTGTTTCAAAGAAAGTTTTTTTCCTGATATGAAAAACACTACTTAACCCAAGCACAACTACAATGTGAATAAACAGTAAATATCTCATTTAAGTAAAAGTTGTTAAAAATTACAAATAGTTACCCATGTGTGCTTGCGTCTCATTCATATGCGCTCTTCACATTCATTGCGGTATAAAGGAAATAAGAGGCTGGTCATCATATGAATGTAGTGTAACAGTAGAGGAACATGTTTACAATATTTAAAGTGTGTGGTTTACCTGTATTTTACTAAATTCGTGTCATGTCACGACAAGGGTCTTAAACTGTAACTGTCTATATAGTTTATATATAGTTTTACAGCAGGTTCTGGTGAGACTATATAAATTAACAACAAGGGGAATAAAACTGCACTCTTAGAAACAACTTGTATTTTAATCATGTTCCGATTTAAGTATTTTGATCAATGTAAAAGCAACATAAAATCCCACAAATGTGACTTTAAAGACCTTCATAAGACATGTAGTTACAGTGAGTTTATGTACAATATGTATATTAATAACATCAAGTTCATCAAGTAGGCCTAGCCAACATTTGCATCCTTGCCTAACATTTGTATTTGCATGACATATTGGGTTTCTGTTTTTGTTTTGTTGTTGCTGTCTGTTTGTTTAGTGAAATAAAAAAAAGGTGAATTCTTGAAGGACATTGTCCAGAGTTCATGGTGACCACAGCTGCCAAGTTCCAAAAAGGACAAAAAACTATAAACTAATAAACATAAAACTAGTCCATATGGCTTGTACACTATTCCAAATCTCCTGAAATCATACAAAATTTAGGTTGTTATTCAACTAAAAATCTTTCCTTTGCTTGATTTTTTAAAAGTTAGACAGCAGTGTGGTCACTTAAATGTTGTTGTGTGGAAAAGAGAGGTTAAAAAGCATTTTGGGGCAAAAAAAAAAAATCAACATTTTCCCTTTTTTGTTCCACAGAAAACAACAACATAAAGTGTTTGGAACGCCATGAGTTTTTACTTTTTGGATGAACTATTCCTTTAAATGTCTCGACTATTTACAAATTAGAGTGATAAATAATAACTGGAGATTGTCCGTGTTCATTTTTTCTTTAGTTTCTTCAAAAACGTCACTTCATCTCTGTTCCTGATCCCGTAGCTGAGAATAAAAGGGAAGCACAGTCATATTTAAATCACATGAAAAATCATTAACGTAATTCAAAAAGCAAATTAACTATTGTGCCGTTTTCACACATTTCTACAAAAGCAGCAGATTGTTTGGACTCACTCCTTCAGCTTTCTCTCGTCGTCTTCTAATTTCTCTCCGTTGAAGGCCAAATGAAATGTCCTCCACACATATTTCCTTGAAAGGGTAAATAGATTAGGGGGGGGGGGTTACATTATGAAACCTGCAGTATCATATAGCCTACCTGGCACATTTTTCATGTCTTACCAGCTGATGTGCTTGACACCTCCCTCTCGCTGTTGTTTCAGCTCCATATATCTGCGAATGGCTTTCTTGAGATCCAGAACCGTAGCAGACTGCACGACCACGATAGCTGTGAAGAGATTTGCTCCAGTTAGAACCAATAAATGGGTGACAATTCAGAGCGACTTCAAGAAAACTCACGCATGACTTCTTCATCAGGCTTACAAACACGAACAGTCATGGCCTGACCGTATTCCAGAGCCACCTGAGAGTTCACCTCCTCCAATGTGACCTGAACAGATGGAACAAACGATTTCAGAGAGCAGAAAATATTTTAAAGAAATGTTCTGCAGAAAGTCATTAATAACCATTGATTTTAACATTATTCGAATAAAAACTTGATTGTTAGGCTATTTGATGGTACACCTGAATTGGCAGGTCACACAGTAAAGGGTCCTGCACTATCAGAGCCAAGCCTTCCTCGAAGATGTCAAGAAATTCAGAATGTGGCAATGCCTCCTCATCCTCTTCCTCTTCTTGCTCCTCTTTAATTTCATCTGCAACGGTTTTCTCGGCAAAGTCAGCCACGTCGACATTCTTTAGGTTTCCTTCCTTTAATTTATCCATTTTTAACTTATAATAAGCAAAAACTTCCCGATTTAAGACTTTATACAGAAATACAAGACATATAAAAGTTAACAAAGAATATAAATGGAATTTAGAAATATGACATTAAGTATTTTGCGGAAATTCTTTCTGATGAAACTGTAACATCAACATGCTGCGTTTCAGATTTCTTCATAATTTAACACAAACACGCTGTCGGAAGATTTATATGATGCACCAAAGTTTAGTTCCGCGTACGTTTTAAAAATATATTTCCGGGATTAGCTATATAATTCTTAAAAATATAAGTTTTATTTTTTATATATATTGCCAGGTATATATCAAATTATTATTAAATATACATACTCTATAATCAAGGTTTCATTGTGTTTATATTATGTTTCATGTCGAGCCTAGAATAGTGAGGCACGGTTATCATCATGTGCTTCCTGTAGCAACTGCAGCTGAGAATGTGTGTAAACACCCACTTTAATTGGATCAGAAAAACAATACCAGTATTTAGTAAACAATATTATATATAACCGGTGAAAATGCTTATGTTTTGTCCAACTTGTGGGAATGTTTTAATCGTGGAGGAAGGACAAAGGTGCTTCAGATTCGCGTGTAATACATGTCCATATGTGCACAATGTCACGAGGAAGGTAAGTTAATGTGAAGTTACCACCACAACATATAAACGAACACGTGATAATGGAACACATAAATAATTTGAACGTTCGATTCGAATGAAGTCAAAAGATGAAGTGATGTGACAGTTTGATTCAAACATATCTGATGATGCAAAGCGTCGATTAAATTGCACATGGAATAGAGTGATTGTTCGATTGTAAACGTGATTTGAACAATTGCACAATGTGAACGTTCCATTCAAATACATGTAATATGTGAAAAAAAAATGTGTAAGGTTTTCTTTTAGAACATGAAATGTACATGTACATGAAACTGTAGGTCACATGGCAATGACCCCATGACGGATGTATGTCTGGATTACATTCACTATATAAAACACTTATAATAAATATATTTAAATATCTGAATGGCTGGTAAGGTAACTTAAAAATGTAGTAGCCAAATTGGCTGCTGTGTGTGTGGAAAAGTTCATTTCATTAGAACATCCCTCAAAAATGTTGTCAATGTAGTTTTTGAGACGGTGCCAGCATAAAACTTTCTGATATATAATATATATCTGATGTGTGTTGAAATAATTGGTTGGTTATTGTGACAGGTAAATAGCAGAAAGTACCCCAAACTGAAGGAGGTTGATGATGTTCTCGGGGGCGCTGCTGCTTGGGAAAATGTGGATTCTACTCCAGGTAAAACAGTGTATCCTAATGTAATAAAAAAAAAATACTAATATGTGTTTTTAATCACACGTGCAGGTGGCTTTAAATAAGTGTATTTGATTTATTTTGAGTATAACTTTCTTTTCTTTTTCTTTTTTTTGAAGAACCTTGTCCAAAATGTGAGCACCCACGGGCCTACTTTATGCAGATTCAAACTAGGTCTGCTGATGAACCAATGACAACTTTCTACAAGTGCTGCAATATACAATGTGGCCATCGTTGGAGAGACTAAATCAGTCTTGGACTTTGTTTGAGACTCAAAATATGTGTTCATAATAAAATATTCTGTTTTCATTATATATATATATTTTTTTTTTTTTTGGAGCCAAAACTGTGTCATCATTTATATGGATTAAAAAAACTTTATTTTCACTAACTGTAACAGAATGTACATGTGTCATTTATAACCACATCATTTACATCTGGGTTGTTCTGGCCTGATGACCATTCTTGTGTGTGTGTGTGTGTGTGTGTGTGTGTGTGTGTGTGTGTGTGTGTGTGTGTGTGTGTGTGTGTGTGTGTGTGTGTGTGTGTGTGTGTGTGTGTGTGTGTGTGTGTGTGTGTGTGTGTGTGTGTGTGTGTGCGTGTGTGTGTGTGTGTGCGAGTAATAAAATGACATCTCATACATGTTATAGTCTTTTTATTTGTTCAAATAATCATTAAGTTCACAAGTTTTGTTTTACATACACATTTGAGACTTTAGTTGAGCGTGGCATCTGGTGTGCCACGCACTATTCTCAAGGCATCTATCTACAACTGCATTCCTGTAACACAAGCTTGACATCTACTGTCTGCAACAGCATCAAGTCACTTCACAAAGCAAGTAGACCTACGTAGTCAAGAGCATATTAGATTAAAGGGAGCCAGCCTGGATTGTGCAAGTAAACCTCATGAACATGCATATTTACTGGAGATTATCTTTCAGTAATCAAACAGACATCATATTTTTTTGTGTGTGTATGTTTGATGGAGAGGTATCTTGATGATTTTATAGGTCTTGGTTAATTTTCGATTAAATAAAGCAGGGTGGGATGAGGCCTTTTTTTCAGTCAGAAAATAGATCATTGGAAATTCAACTTAGAAAATAGAACTTAATGTGGCAAAAGTTCTTTTTGTGATGCCTGCATACATGTATGAGGCAAATGTGCAAATACTATGAAAAATCCAGTGTTCGTTGGACAGATCTGATTAAAAAGAATCGTTTACAATGAGACAGCAAGTTTAAATACATTTACACACACTAGCAATTGCTAAAAAAAATGTTCCTTCATGTTAAATACTACAATGGAAAGACGGAGATTCTGATTTTTAAAACAGCTATAATATTGGCAGATTGTCTACAGGAGAAAGATGATTAATATCTGAATCTTAATTTAAAGCTACACGGTGTAACTTGTGTTTGCTAACATGTTATTAATTAGAAAATGTTGTCCAAATGGCTTTACTTTTGCCCAATACACTTTGATGAATCTATAGTAGCCTAACGATTAATATTTTTGAGCTGTCGGGACGGATTTTGTGGATAAAAATATATACATTCGCCCGTGCGTGTCAGGATCTATCCGTATCCGTACACAGAGAAAAGTAGCTCCGCGTTCATGTCGTTGCATTAGCGTGCCGTCACAACAAACGAGAAAAAATCACCGTGAATCGTTCAAAACGGCAAACCCCTGAACACCGGTAAACTGGTGCTAGAGCCGTAGCACGACCAAGACACATTTTGTTTTTGTTTTTACGCTTCAGGGCCAATAGTTACATGGTGTAGTTTTAGGCAAAAGTGAAAAGCGGAGCTTTAACTCGTATTGAGATAGGCCTGGTTTCACAGAAAAGGCTCGATTAAGCCAGGATTAGGCCTTAGTTCAATTAGGACATTTAAGTATCTTTTATAAACATGCCTTATAAAAAAACATTCCTGATCTGCATCTTGAGACAAAACAATGGTGCTGACATATTTTAAGAAATATCTGTGCACTTTGCTTTCAGATAGACAGCTCAAACATGCATTTTAGTCTGGGACTAGGCTTAAGTCTTGTCTGTGAAACCGGGCGATAGTCTATTCACTGCTGATGTTGTAGTGTTTGAATTTCGTACCGTTAAATCACATTTTTGCACAGAGCTATTCAGAAATGATCAAATAAAGGAAATAATCTCTTTAGATGGTTCCTGAGAAATTACAAGTCTGACCACAAAAAAAAAAAGAAGAAAAAAAAAATAGGACAATCAACCTTAATAATAATTAACAATGCAGTAATTACTAATACAGTGCTTATATTTTATATATAGTGTCTTGAGCACTGTGGATGTTGTAGCTTTTGTATTCTGTACCATTTCAGCAATGATTCACATTGTCAGACAGAGCAAAATGTTTTTTGAAAGTTTACAATTTCACAACCAGAACAAACATCTATTCCGAAATGACCAAATAACGGAAACAATCTCTTTGGATGATTCCACAGAAATCACAATCTGACCACAAAAAGGAAAAATCAGGACAATCATCATTTAAGTCCTTGTGGCCTGTTACACACAGTTTTAATAAGTGAACGGTTAATCTGCTTTGAGTTATGAAGCCCAGTGCAGCAACAAGCCCAGCTTGACACACTGAGGGGACATATGGCCCAATAGAGCGCTATGCAAGATTACAGTGATGCCATGCAGCGCATTTCATCATGCTGGTGAACTCCAACAGCAAAGCAGCTTTGAACAGCCTTTACAAGAGATTTCTTCCCTTTTTGAAGAAGACGACGACGACGACGACACCTTCACCACGTTAAGTAGAAATGAAAAAAAATAACGCAACCGCCACTTCTAAACATGTTGTTTAGCAGTTCTGGCCAGAATACATGTTAAAATAAATATGTGATTAGAGATGATTCTACACTGATCTTAATATCAGCAAACAGACCTACTTTAGTAATGACTTGCAAACTGACCTGGATAACCGATGATAGTTTAGAGAAGGCTCAAACAGCTTATTGACGACAACACAGAACAGCTAGTATAGTGGTTTGAAAAGCACCATGGCTATAGTTCTGATTCACAGTTCAAAAACATATTAAATGTATATTGGTTGAATTCCACAAATATGACCCTAACGTGAACAGCACGGCATATTAAAACACCATGAGCTTTAATGAAAGCTATCTGGTATCCCTAAATTACTAAAAGGAGATTTAGATGGACAGGACATACATATTCCTTATCAAAAGAAACCTTTCAACTAAAATGACACATCTACACGAACATTTCATATATAAGCATATCAAATCAAATGAGTCTTGTCGACAAACATAAGAAATTGAAAACATAACAAAAGTGAAAGAATTTTTTTTCCTCATAACATTTGCATAAAATGCCAAATATAGACGCACTTTTCACATGTAAAAGCAACAATGTTACTCCAGGACAGCGTTAGACGGTCCCAGACCCAGCCATTAAAGACTTTCATTTCAATATGTTAAAATAAAACAATAATGCATCAAATAATAATCCTACATTCCAACAATACTGACCCTGTAGTGAAATTCAGTTGTTTTCGCTACTCAGTAATATTCACAAATGAGCTTAAGGTTACTGTTTTCACATATTTTCTACACGTTTACACTTCGCTTTACTGCTAAAAAAAATGAAAATTTGAAACAGTGCTTTGATGAAACAATGACCATTGTGCATATTAAAACGTACCGATCCTTCATGCCCTCTGCTTCATTTTAGAGGTGTCAGTAACTACATCAAGTCAAGTGCCTGTAAATTAAATGTGAGAATCAATAGTTACATAAAGCGAGAAATGGCTAGAAATACGAGCCGTCAGCTGGGGCGATCACAGAGCAGAAGGAAATGAGAGTGAGTCGTCAACACCCACCAGAATGAGGTCACAGCACGATCGTTAATGGGATAGACTGTTAGCATATGCGCTTGTGTGTGTAAATATAGCCCTTGCAGTTGGGGCAAGTGTGTGTCACATCCTTGAGGTCGTCAATCATACAGGGGATCAAGCAGCAACCTAGATCACAACTGTAAAACAAAGACAAAAGTCATGAGGGATCTCAAGAGCTCACTGTATGGTTCATCATTCAGGGCTCATTGTGTATTCATTTATTCAAAACTACATCAAAAATGCAATTCACGCATGCATGGCCTGAATGCACCTCTTGTATGGTGCACGTTTTTAATTTCCGTTTTAAAATTCATTTACACTACTATTCACAAGTTTGGGGTGAGTAAGATTTTTTTGATAGAAATTAATACTTTTATTGACAAAGACGCATTGAAATGATCAAAAGAGAGATTCATAATGTCACAAAAAAATTATATTTCAAATAAATACTGTTCTTTTGTTTCCACAAAAATATTAAGCAGCACGTTTTCAATATTGATAATAACGATAAGAAATGTTTCTTGAGAATCAAATCAGATCATATTAGGATGATTTCTGAAGGATCATGTGACCCTGACGACTGGAGTAATGATGCTGAAAATTCAGCTTTGATCTCAGGAATAAATGACATTTTAATTTATAACAATAGAAAACAGTCATTTTGAATTGTAATACTGTTTTTACTGAACTTTTGATCAAACAAATGCAGCCTTGGTGAACAAGAGACTTCTTAAAACATTAAAAATCCCCAAACTTTTGAACAGAGGTGTAGATATTTTGTATGAGCATAAAGTCAAAAAACTGAAATTAGAATGAAGAAAAAAAGCCTCTTTATATTAAGAAAAACCTTATTTAGCATACGCTTTTATTATTATTTCTTATAAAATTGTATGTCTGCCAACTCAAAGACATGAAGGCCATCCAACATGCAGAAAGATGATTTCATCATATCACATATTGTGCCGTTCAGTTCGTCACTTACCCGACAAAGAAGCAGAACATGCAGATTAGAGTATTCATGAGGCCGATGTCGTGGCTGATGCGGGTGGTGATGGGTTGTTGGCAGTGTGGACAAACCGTCTGCACTGGAGCCGACTGAAACATCTCCCCCTGTAGAACAGTCACGGTGGTGGTGGTACCAGGAGGGGAGAGAACTGTGGCTGTGTGACCTGGACCAAAGTGACTGGGCCCCGGACCATAGTGCTCCGCTATCGGATGAGGAAAGTGCCCAGGGGGAGCGTAGTAACCACCTGCAGCACATCAATTTTGAGGTTAAAGTTAGTTCACACAAACATGAAAATTCTCTCATGATTTGCTCACCATCATCCAATCCCCGATTGTATATGACTGTTTCTTTCTTCAGATAAACACAAACTAATATTTGTAGGAAAATGATCCATCTTTGTGAGCCCATATAATGCCATTGAATGGCTGTTGCACGTTTGACACGTAAAATATCGATCGTGAGTTATCTTTTTTTTTAAATCATATTTTTCTTAAACACCTAGCCTATCGTTTCACTTATACCCATTCATCCATTGGGGTCGTATGGATTATTTTTCTACAAATTTTTTATTTTTGTTTGCATGAGGTTGAGTAAATGATGAGAGAATTTTAATTTTTGGGTGAACTATCCCTTGAAGATAGTTCTACACACATAGATTGTATCTTGGCACGATTGCTTTGTATGACAAACAGATTTAATTAAGGCTTTTATTAACAAAAACATTAATCTACTCACACATCAGTTGTGGTAAACGGAAGCTCAAGCATGTTCGCTTGAGGTACAATAACCAATGAGGTTCATCCTCGTGTTATGCAGCACGTTTGAGCTTCTGCAGGAACCAATGAGGTTCATTCTCGTGTTACGCAGCACGTTTGAGCTTCAGCAAGAACCAATGAGGTTCATCCTCGTGTTACGCAGCACGTTTGAGCTTCAGCAAGAACCAATGAGGTTCATCCTCGTGTTACGCAGCACGTTTGAGCTTCTGCAGGAACCAATGAGGTTCATTCTCGTGTTACGCAGCACGTTTGAGCTTCAGCAAGAACCAATGAGGTTCATCCTCGTGTTATGCAGCACGTTTGAGCTTCAGCAAGAACCAATGAGGTTCATCCTCGTGTTATGCAGCACGTTTGAGCTTCTGCAGGAACCAATGAGGTTCATCCTCGTGTTATGCAGCACGTTTGAGCTTCTGCAGGAACCAATGAGGTTCATTCTCGTGTTACGCAGCACGTTTGAGCTTCAGCAAGAACCAATGAGGTTCATCCTCGTGTTATGCAGCACGTTTGAGCTTCAGCAAGAACCAATGAGGTTCATCCTCGTGTTACGCAGCACGTTTGAGCTTCTGCAGGAACCAATGAGGTTCATCCTCGTGTTACGCAGCACGTTTGAGCTTCTGTAAGAACCAATGAGGTTCATTCTCGTGTTATGCAGCACGTTTGAGCTTCAGCAAGAACCAATGAGGTTCATCCTCGTGTTACGCAGCACATTTGAGCTTCAGCAAGAACCAATGAGGTTCATTCTCGTGTTACGCAGCATGTTTGAGCTTCAGCAAGAACCAATGAGGTTTATTCTCGTGTTACGCAGCACGTTTGAGCTTCAGCAGGAACCAATGAGGTTCATTCTCGTGTTACGCAGCATGTTTGAGCTTCAGCAAGAACCAATGAGGTTCATTCTCGTGTTACGCAGCATGTTTGAGCTTCAGCAAGAACCAATGAGGTTCATTCTCGTGTTACGCAGCATGTTTGAGCTTCAGCAAGAACCAATGAGGTTCATTCTCGTGTTACGCAGCATGTTTGAGCTTCAGCAAGAACCAATGAGGTTTATTCTCGTGTTACGCAGCACGTTTGAGCTTCTGCAGGAACCAATGAGGTTCATTCTCGTGTTACGCAGCACGTTTGAGCTTAAGCAAGAACCAATGAGGTTCATTCTCTTGTTACGCAGCACGTTTGAGCTTAAGCAAGAACCAATGAGGTTCATTCTCATGTTACGCAGCACGTTTGAGCTTCTGTAAGAACCAATGAGGTTCATTCTCGTGTTACGCAGCACGTTTGAGCTTAAGCAAGAACCAATGAGGTTCATTCTCGTGTTACGCAGCACGTTTGAGCTTCTGCAGGAACCAATGAGGTTCATTCCCGTGTTACGCAGCACGTTTGAGCTTAAGCAAGAACCAATGAGGTTCATTCTCTTGTTACGCAGCACGTTTGAGCTTAAGCAAGAACCAATGAGGTTCATTCTCGTGTTACGCAGCACGTTTGAGCTTCTGCAGGAACCAATGAGGTTCATTCCCGTGTTACGCAGCACGTTTGAGCTTAAGCAAGAACCAATGAGGTTCATTCTCTTGTTACGCAGCACGTTTGAGCTTAAGCAAGAACCAATGAGGTTCATCCTCGTGTTACGCAGCACGTTTGAGCTTCTGCAGGAACCAATGAGGTTCATTCTCGTGTTACGCAGCACGTTTGAGCTTAAGCAAGAACCAATGAGGTTCATCCTCGTGTTACGCAGCACGTTTGAGCTTCTGCAGGAACCAATGAGGTTCATTCTCGTGTTACGCAGCACGTTTGAGCTTCAGCAAGAACCAATGAGGTTCATTCTCGTGTTACGCAGCATGTTTGAGCTTCAGCAAGAACCAATGAGGTTCATTCTCGTGTTACGCAGCATGTTTGAGCTTCAGCAAGAACCAATGAGGTTCATTCTCGTGTTACGCAGCATGTTTGAGCTTCAGCAAGAACCAATGAGGTTCATTCTCGTGTTACGCAGCATGTTTGAGCTTCAGCAAGAACCAATGAGGTTTATTCTCGTGTTACGCAGCACGTTTGAGCTTCTGCAGGAACCAATGAGGTTCATTCTCGTGTTACGCAGCACGTTTGAGCTTAAGCAAGAACCAATGAGGTTCATTCTCTTGTTACGCAGCACGTTTGAGCTTAAGCAAGAACCAATGAGGTTCATTCTCATGTTACGCAGCACGTTTGAGCTTCTGTAAGAACCAATGAGGTTCATTCTCGTGTTACGCAGCACGTTTGAGCTTAAGCAAGAACCAATGAGGTTCATTCTCGTGTTACGCAGCACGTTTGAGCTTCTGCAGGAACCAATGAGGTTCATTCCCGTGTTACGCAGCACGTTTGAGCTTAAGCAAGAACCAATGAGGTTCATTCTCTTGTTACGCAGCACGTTTGAGCTTAAGCAAGAACCAATGAGGTTCATCCTCGTGTTACGCAGCACGTTTGAGCTTCTGCAGGAACCAATGAGGTTCATTCTCGTGTTACGCAGCACGTTTGAGCTTAAGCAAGAACCAATGAGGTTTATTCTCGTGTTACGCAGCACGTTTGAGCTTAAGCAAGAACCAATGAGGTTCATTCTCTTGTTACGCAGCACGTTTGAGCTTAAGCAAGAACCAATGAGGTTCATTCTCATGTTACGCAGCACGTTTGAGCTTCTGTAAGAACCAATGAGGTTCATTCTCGTGTTACGCAGCACGTTTGAGCTTAAGCAAGAACCAATGAGGTTCATTCTCGTGTTACGCAGCACGTTTGAGCTTCTGCAGGAACCAATGAGGTTCATTCCCGTGTTACGCAGCACGTTTGAGCTTCAGCAGGAACCAATGAGGTTCATTCTTGTGTTACGCAGCACGTTTGAGCTTCTGCAAGAACCAATGAGGTTCATTCTCGTGTTACGCAGCACGTTTGAGCTTAAGCAAGAACCAATGAGGTTCATTCTCGTGTTACGCAGCACGTTTGAGCTTCAGCAAGAACCAATGAGGTTCATCCTCGTGTTACGCAGCACGTTTGAGCTTCTGTAAGAACCAATGAGGTTCATTCTCGTGTTACGCAGCACGTTTGAGCTTCTGTAAGAACCAATGAGGTTCATTCTCGTGTTACGCAGCACGTTTGAGCTTAAGCAAGAACCAATGAGGTTAATTCTCGTGTTACGCAGCACGTTTGAGCTTCTGCAGGAACCAATGAGGTTCATTCCCGAGTTACGCAGCACGTTTGAGCTTCAGCAGGAACCAATGAGGTTCATTCTTGTGTTACGCAGCACGTTTGAGCTTCTGCAAGAACCAATGAGGTTCATTCTCGTGTTACGCAGCACGTTTGAGCTTCAGCAAGAACCAATGAGGTTCATTCTCGTGTTACGCAGCACGTTTGAGCTTCAGCAGGAACCAATGAGGTTCATCCTCGTGTTACGCAGCACATTTGAGCTTCAGCAAGAACCAATGAGGTTCATTCTCGTGTTACGCAGCATGTTTGAGCTTCAGCAAGAACCAATGAGGTTTATTCTCGTGTTACGCAGCACGTTTGAGCTTCAGCAGGAACCAATGAGGTTCATTCTCGTGTTACGCAGCATGTTTGAGCTTCAGCATAAACCAATGAGGTTCATTCTCGTGTTACGCAGCATGTTTGAGCTTCAGCAAGAACCAATGAGGTTCATTCTCGTGTTACGCAGCATGTTTGAGCTTCAGCAAGAACCAATGAGGTTCATTCTCGTGTTACGCAGCATGTTTGAGCTTCAGCAAGAACCAATGAGGTTTATTCTCGTGTTACGCAGCACGTTTGAGCTTCTGCAGGAACCAATGAGGTTCATTCTCGTGTTACGCAGCACGTTTGAGCTTAAGCAAGAACCAATGAGGTTCATTCTCTTGTTACGCAGCACGTTTGAGCTTAAGCAAGAACCAATGAGGTTCATTCTCATGTTACGCAGCACGTTTGAGCTTCTGTAAGAACCAATGAGGTTCATTCTCGTGTTACGCAGCACGTTTGAGCTTAAGCAAGAACCAATGAGGTTCATTCTCGTGTTACGCAGCACGTTTGAGCTTCTGCAGGAACCAATGAGGTTCATTCCCGTGTTACGCAGCACGTTTGAGCTTAAGCAAGAACCAATGAGGTTCATTCTCTTGTTACGCAGCACGTTTGAGCTTAAGCAAGAACCAATGAGGTTCATCCTCGTGTTACGCAGCACGTTTGAGCTTCTGCAGGAACCAATGAGGTTCATTCTCGTGTTACGCAGCACGTTTGAGCTTAAGCAAGAACCAATGAGGTTTATTCTCGTGTTACGCAGCACGTTTGAGCTTAAGCAAGAACCAATGAGGTTCATTCTCTTGTTACGCAGCACGTTTGAGCTTCTGCAGGAACCAATGAGGTTCATTCCCGTGTTACGCAGCACGTTTGAGCTTCAGCAAGAACCAATGAGGTTCATTCTCGTGTTACGCAGCACGTTTGAGCTTCAGCAGGAACCAATGAGGTTCATCCTCGT